ACAATAAGCTGTAATGATACAATGAGCTGTAATAATACACAATCTGTAATAGCAACCTGAGCTGTAATAATACAGTAAGCTGTAATAATACACAATCTGTAATAGCACACTGAGCTGTAATAATACAATAAGCTGTAATAATACAAAGAGCTGTTATAATACACCAACCTGTTATAACACAGGGATCTGTAATAATACAATAAGCTGCAATAGTACAATGAGCTGTTATAATACAATAAGCTGTAATGATACAATGAGCTGTTATAATACAAAGAGCTGGTTTAATACACTGAGCTATAATAATATACCAATCTGTTATAACACACTGATCTGTACTAATACAATAAGCTGTAACTAGAAAAGCTACAATTTCTGGGGAAATTGTGTGAAGTGTTCTTGCCTCCTAGTCTACAACTGGAGTGGACGGAGTAACTGTTATTATTTATTTATATAGCACATTTAATTGCAACGTTGTTGCCCAAAGTGCTTCACAGTTACATTAACCCCTTAAGGACGGAGCCAAATGTACACCTTGTGAACAAAACAAAATGTAGACAAAACCTGGCATTTGCGCTACATGTCTGTCCAACCGTAATTCAACTCTTTCATAGTAAATGCACCCACACTTATTATGTATTATTTTGTTCAGGAGAAACAGGGCTTTCATTTCATATCAAATATTTATATATGAAACATAATTTATTATGAATAAAATTTAACAAACTGAGAAATTTTAATTTTTTTAAAAAAATTTGTAGTTCCGCCTCACATTTTAGCTGTAAATGTCATAATACTCTTAGGTTTTACTGCACATAAAAGGCACATATTTGTAATCAGTGATGTCTCACGAGTACAACAGTACCCCCCCATTACCAGGTTTTATGGTGTTTTGGAAAGTTACAGGGTCAAATATAGAACGTTCCATTTTCACATTGAAATTTGCCAGATTAGTAATGTTACCTTTGAGACGGTGTGGTAGCCCAGGAATGAGAATTACCCCCATAATGGCAGACATTTGAAAAAGTAGACAACCCAAGGTATTGAACGTATGTTTAGTCTTTTTTAGTAGCCACTTAGTCACAAACACTGGCCAAAGTTAGCGTTCATATTTTTTTTTGTGAAAAAAGCAAAAACCTAATATTTGGCCAGTGTTTGTGACTAAGTGGCTACTAAAATGACTGGACATACTCCATTTGTATACCTTGGGTTGCCTACTTTTGCAAATGGTATGCCATCATGGGGGTAATTCTTATTCCTGGGCTACTATACGGTCTCAAAGGCAACATAACCAATCTGGCAAATTTAAATGTCAACAAAATGAAATGCAAGCCTTATATGTGACTCTCTAACTTTCCAAAACACCATAAAACCTGTACATGGGGGGTACTGTTATTCTCGGGAGACTTTGCTAAACACAAATATTAGTGTTTTAAAACGGTAAAACATATTACAACAATAATATAGTCCATAAACATGACGTTCGTTTGTAAAAAATGCAAAAAACTTCACTTTTACTTAAAATATAATCGTTGTAATACAATTTACCAGTTTTAAACACTAATATTTGAGTTCAGCGAAGTCTCCTGAGTAAAACAGTACCCCCTATGTACAGGTTTTATGGTGTCTTGGAGAGTTACAGGGTCAAATATGAGTGCTACTTGAGGTAAATTCTCTACTTTTCTCCCACATGTGTTGTTTGTCGAGAGCATGTCAATCAAATTTTTTAATTAATCCAAATCACATAATTATATTTAAAAGATTACTTAAACTATACATGGCAGAATTTTTTAATATATATGCATTTATAGGTATTTTAAAATTCTCACATTGTATACTAATGTAATACTTTTATGTAATACATTATTTATAAACATTATAACACACACTTTTCTCCTGAAAATAGGGGCAAGTATGAGTGCGTGTTATACGCGGACTATTTAAATACTGCAGCCGCCTGAGCGCTCTGTCAAGAGCGGTCAGGCGGCTGCAATTGGTTCTCACCTCCCCTCCCCTGTAGCGTGGCCGAGCTGCTCTGCTGTCCACGGTGCCCGGCCGGAGTGATAGGAAGGTGCACACTGAGCATGCACCTTCCTATCACTCCGGCCGGGCACCGCGGACAGCAGAGCAGCTCGGCCACGCTACAGGGGAGGGGGTAAAAAGAGAGTGAGGGGGGGGCTAAAAAGAGAGTGGGGGGGCTAAAAAGAGAGTGGGGGGGGTAAGAAGAGGGGGGTAAATAGAGGGGGAGGGGGGTAAGAAGAGGGGGAGGGGGGGAGTAAGAAGGGGGTAAGAGAAAGAGGGGGGAGGGAATAAGAAGGGGTAGAAGAGGGATAGGGGGTAAGAAGAGGGAGGGAGTAAGAAGGGGGGGTAAGAGGGGAGGGGTAAGAAGGGGTAGAGGGGGGGAGAGTAGAAGGGGAGTGGGGGGTAAGAAGGGGTGAAGGGGAGGGGGGAGTAAGAAAGGGGAGTAAGAAGAGGGGGAGGGGGGAGTAAGAAGGGGGTAAGAAGTTCTTTATTTGAAATGTACGTTTTTTTTCCCTGAAATTTCCTTCTTAAAATGAGGTGCATGTTATACGCCGGTGCGTGTTATACGCCGATAAATACGGTATATGTATTTATCTATATATATTTATTTGCGGTTATTTGTATTTTATATATAGATAGATATATATAGAATGTCATTCTAAGTGTATTTTGTTACCAATATATATATATATATATATTAATAACAAAATACAGTTAGAATGAAATTACATATGAATATATAATTTATATTAAATTATGTTTCAATATTTTATTTATTTATTTTATTATTTAATTTATTTATTATTGTAATTATACGTATATATATATATAGTATATGTGTATATATCTATTATATATATATATAATAGATATATACATATTATATATGTAACGTTAGTCTAAGTGTATTTTAATATTAATATATACGTATATTAATATTAAAATACATTACGTATGACGTTATATGTATATAATATGTATATATATTATATATATAATATATATACATATATTATATATATATAAATGTATTTAATTTATTTTTACACATGTCTAATTTATTTTTTTTACATTTCCCACCAGCAGGGGGACTGTCTGACATTTCAGACAGTCGCCCTGCTGGCAGATCCACAGTCAGCTATGGGGGGCCATGTGATCGCTCTTTGAGAGCGATCACATGGCCCCCGGGGGCCTCATTCACCGGAGGAGGGCTGTCTGGGCGGTCTGGCAGCCCTCCAGAAGAGGATCGCGGTGGAGGTGAGTACCGCCGGACCTCTGGGGCTGAAAGCCGTTACGGCGTTCTATGCCGCCGCAACGGCTTTAAAGCCCATTAAAGCCGCGACGGCATAGAACGCCGTAACAGCGTGAAGGGGTTAAAACATACATTTATAAAAACATTAGCAGGTGTACAAAAGGCCCTGTCTATGACATCACTTGCTGCTCCTGCCTGGCACAGGTCAGAGTATTTTGGCGGTTGCCATCTTCAAATGGTCGTATTTTAAAAACTATACATCCTACAGTGAAGAGCTTTATATTGTGAGAATCACAAGACCCAGACCTACATTTTGATGTCTCTGAAGTATTAAGAATGAAGGCACAGTCTCAGTTTAGAAATTGCCCTTCAAGTTTGAGCTGGCTAGAGTGGAGTTTCAATGAATGTCAATGGACGGCGTGAGTTGCAAACAAATGATTATATTGTGAAAACTATCAGGACTATGGCTTAGCCGTGGACATTTCTAGTGGCGGCAGGGATAGCTGAACGTTTTGATATAAGATTTGTGTAGGTGGGTTTGAAAATGAGGGAGTGGTGGCAGTTTAGAAATCATGTCCTGATTTTTCAGCTTTTGTCAGCTCCCATTATAGTTTTGAACATTTTGCCATTCATTCCTATGGGACCAATTTCGCCACAAGAACGACGATATTCTGTGAATAGAGATGTCGCGAACCGTCCGCGAACTTCTCGCGAACGGTTCGCCACGACCTGTTCGTGGCGAACTCCGGTCAGCTGACACATCTCGGCCAATCTCCAGCAGACCCTCCCTCCCAGACCCTCCTACTTCCTGGACAGGAACCGAGAAGTTCGCGGACGGTTCGCGACATCTCTATCCGTGAACCATTTGGTGAAACGTTCCACAAAGTAATAGCACACCAATCGGGAACAATCCGCATGTTTCGGTATATTACTGTCTATGTAGTGTAAAAACTGTGGGAAGAGTTAGGGTGGTAAATTTGGCTATAACAAGAATAATATATATGTGATAACATTAAGTGGTCTTGCTATGTTCTATATTGGAGGGATTATTGCTGGGACATATCTGTTCTATATTGGAGGGATTATTGCTGGGGCTTATCGGTTCTATATTGGAGGGATTATAGCTGGGACATATCTGTTCTATATTGGAGGGATTATTGCTGGGACATATCTGTTCTATATTGGAGGGATTATTGCTGGGATATATCTGTTCTATATTGGAGGGATTATTGCTGGGACATATCTGTTCTATATTGGAGGGATTATTGCTGGGACATATCTGTTCTATATTGGAGGGATTATTGCTGGGTCATATCTGTTCTATATTGGAGGGATTATTGCTGGGACATATCTGTTCTATATTGGAGGGATTATTGCTGGGACATATCTGTTCTATATTGGAGGGATTATTGCTGGGGCATATCTGTTCTATATTGGAGGAATTATTGCTGGGGCATATCTGTTCTATATTGAGGGATACTGCTGGGACATATCTGTTCTATATTGAGGGATTATTACAGCATCTGTTCTATATTGAGGGACATGGGACACATCTGTTCTATATTGAGGGATTATTTCATGGGACATATCTGTTCTATATTGAGGATTATAGCTGGGGCACATTCGTTCTATATTGAGGGACACATGGGGCATATCTGTTCTATATTGAGGGATTATTGTTGGGGCATATCTGTTTTATATTGAGGGATTATAGCTGGACATATCTGTTCTATATTGAGGGATTATTGTTGGACATATCTGTTCTATATTGAGGATTATAGCTGGGACATATCTGTTCTATATTGGAGGGATTATTGCTGGGGCATATCTGTTCTATATTGGAGGGATTATTGCTGGGGCATATCTGTTCTATATTGGAGGGATTATTGCTGGGGCATATCTGTTCTATATTGGAGGGATTATTGCTGGGACATATCTGTTCTATATTGGAGGGATTATTGCTGGGACATATCTGTTCTATATTGGAGGGATTATTGCTGGGACATATCTGTTCTATATTGGAGGGATTATTGCTGGGACATATCTGTTCTATATTGGAGGGATTATTGCTGGGGCATATCTGTTCTATATTGGAGGGATTATAGCTGGGACATATCTGTTCTATATTGGAGGGATTATTGCTGGGACATATCTGTTCTATATTGGAGGGATTATTGCTGGGACATATCTGTTCTATATTGGAGGGATTATAGCTGGGGCATATCTGTTCTATATTGGAGGGATTATTGCTGGGGCATATCTGTTCTATATTGGAGGGATTATTGCTGGGGCATATCTGTTCTATATTGGAGGGATTATTGCTGGGACATATCTGTTCTATATTGGAGGGATTATTGCTGGGACATATCTGTTCTATATTGGAGGGATTATTGCTGGGACATATCTGTTCTATATTGGAGGGATTATTGCTGGGACATATCTGTTCTATATTGGAGGGATTATTGCTGGGACATTTCTGTTCTATATTGGAGGGATTATTGCTGGGGCATATCTGTTCTATATTGGAGGGATTATTGCTGGGACATATCTGTTCTATATTGGAGGGATTATTGCTGGGGCATATCTGTTCTATATTGGAGGGATTATTGCTGGGACATATCTGTTCTATATTGGAGGGATTATTGCTGGGACATATCTGTTCTATATTGGAGGGATTATTGCTGGGACATATCTGTTCTATATTGGAGGGATTATGCTGGGACATTTCTGTTCTATATTGGAGGGATTATTGCTGGGGCATATCTGTTCTATATTGGAGGGATTATTGCTGGGACATATCTGTTCTATATTGGAGGGATTATTGCTGGGACATATCTGTTCTATATTGGAGGGATTATTGCTGGGGCATTTCTGTTCTATATTGGAGGGATTATTGCTGGGACATATCTGTTCTATATTGGAGGGATTATTGCTGGGACATATCTGTTCTATATTGGAGGGATTATTGCTGGGGCATATCTGTTCTATATTGGAGGGATTATAGCTGGGACCTTTCTGTTCTATATTGGAGGGATTATAGCTGGGACATATCTGTTCTATATTGGAGGGATTATTGCTGGGGCATATCTGTTCTATATTGGAGGGATTATAGCTGGGACATTTCTGTTCTATATTGGAGGGATTATTGCTGGGGCATATCTGTTCTATATTGGAGGGATTATTGCTGGGACATATCTGTTCTATATTGGAGGGATTATTGCTGGGGCATATCTGTTCTATATTGGAGGGATTATTGCTGGGGCATTTCTGTTCTATATTGGAGGGATTATAGCTGGGACATATCTGTTCTATATTGGAGGGATTATTGCTGGGATATCCCTGGATGAAGCTGTAACCACGGCATATTAAGATATGTGTTCCTCACCGTCGTGTTTACAGTGCATGAGGTGACTGTTTTTCGTAATGATACAATGAGCTGTTAATACAGAAGTCTATAATATTACTCTGAACTGTAGTAGTTATGTTGCTTAGAGTGTCCCTTTAAATAGTCAGCGGTTCTTGAGAGTCCTAATAAAACTGAGTGGTCTCTGATAACGCACTCTCGGAGAGCGGGCTCTGTTATTCTGTTTAACAAAATGTAAGCAGGATATCTAAATAAACAATTGACAAATACCATTATATTCCCATATTAATCAGTCACTCACGCTCTGACTGTCCTTCCATTATTCTGTAATAGTCTACTGCAGCTCCCCTCCTCACAAGGCATACCTCCAAAGTATCCCTGTTTAGGATGGACAGTCCCTCTTTATATTATTGCTGGCATTCATTTTCTCTCCTAATGTCCCTCTTTTCTAGGTTGGTGTGTCTGAGTGTATAACAGAGCTCCACAGCAATAATACTCCCAGTAATGTGTCTGATTGTATAACAGAGCTCCACAGCCATAATACTCCCAGTAATGTGTCTGAGTGTATAACAGAGCTCCACAGTAATAATACTCCCAGTAATGTGTCTGAGTGTATAACAGAGTTCCACAGCAAAAATACTCCCAGTAATGTGTCTCAGTGTGTAACAAAGCACCCCAGCAATAATACTCCCAGTAATGTGACTGAGTGTATAACAAAGCACCCCAGCAATAATACTCCCAGTAATGTGTCTGAGTGTATAACAAAGCACCCCAGCAATAATACTCCCAGTAATGTGACTAAGTGTATAACAAAGCACCCCAGCAATAATACTCCCAGTAATGTGTCTGAGCGTATAACAGAGCTCCACAGCAATAATACTCCCAGTAACGTGTCTGAGTGTATAACAGAACTCCACAGCAATAATACTCCCAGTAACGTGTCTGAGTGTATAACAGAGCTCCACAGCAAAAATACTACCATTAATGTGTCTGAGTGTATAACAGAGCTCCACAGCAATAATACTCCCAGTAATGTGCCTGAGTGTATAACAGAGCTCAACAGCAATAATACTCCCAGTAATGTGTCTGAGCGTATAACAGAGAACCACAGCAATAATACTCCCAATAATGTGTCTGAGTTCATAACAGAGCTCCACAGCAATAATACTCCCAAAAATGTGTCTGAGTGCATAACAGAGCTCCACAGCAATAATACTCCCAGTAATGTGTCTGAGTGTATAACAGAGCCCCACAGCAATAATACTCTCAGTAATGTGTCTGAGTGTATAACAGAGCTCCACAGCAATAATACTCCCAGTAATGTGTCTGAGTGTATAACAGAGCTCCACAGCAATAATACTCCCAGTAATGTCTGAGTGTATAACAGAGCTCCACAGCAATAATACTCCCAGTAATGTGTCTGAGTGTATAACAGAGCCCACAGCAATAATACTCCCAGTAATGTGTCTGAGTGTATAACAGAGCCCCACTGCAATAATACTCCCAGTAATGTGTCTGAGTGTATAACAGAGCTCCACAGCAATAATACTCCCAGTAATGTGTCTGAGTGTATAACAGAGCTCCACAGCAATAATACTCCCAGTAATGTGTCTGAGTGTATAACAGAGCTCCATAGTAATAATACTCCCAGTAATGTGTCTGAGTGTATAACAGAGCTCCACAGCAATAATACTCCCAGTAATGTGTCTGAGTGTATAACAGAGCTCCACAGCAATAATACTCCCAGTAATGTGTCTGAGTGTATAACAGAGCTCCACAGCAATAATACTCCCAGTAATGTGTCTGAGTGTATAACAGAGCTCCACAGTAATAATACTACCAGTAATGTGTCTGAGTGTATAACAGAGCTCCACAGTAATAATACTACCAGTAATGTGTCTGAGTGTATAACAAAGCTCCATGTATTACTTGAACAAGTAGTACAACCACAAATGTATATGAAAAGGTTTTTATTAGATGGGTCCACAGTAATTGGATGTCTCATTAAATGTATCAATAAATGAAAAAGACAAACAATGTCAAATGGGAAGTATAATACAATAGCTAAAAATTCTGGAATTCCATTAAGGCAGACTATATAATACATGTGTAACGGCTCCCTCAGCATAAAAGGGTTAAACCGCCGTTTAGGAGATCTTCCCCTTCCAGAGATGCAGGCACAGCTCCTGCAGAACACCAAACCGCCGAATAGGAAACCATATGAATGCTGTAAACAGCCGAATAGGAAAAACCATACGAATAGGTTTACACTCCTAGCAGTCAAACTGGAACAGCATACAATAAATCCCCCCCAAGAACGAGACAAAGCTCCGAGTTGAGGGTCAAGCAGGAACAGACAGAGCTGTGGGTTTATTGTGCTTATGTACACATTCTTACACATTAGTACCACCCACAGGGTTTTGGAACACAACCAATAAACACATACAATACACTCAGACACTCCCACACAAATTCCTCCCCTCTGCTTGTGATTCAATTACCTTACACAATGGGTAATGTAATTTAGCACAAGCAGAGAAATACAATTTTTCCACATTATTCATAACTTGAAAAGTATGCATCACATTCACATAACACTTACATTTTCAGAATCAAATCATACAAATTGGTCCAGTGGTTCAAAAGATAGATCGTAGTCTGTGACCACAGGAAGCATTGCTTTTCTGCCCAAAACCAGTTCCACAGAGTCTTCTATCCTGGAGTTATTAGAAGTAATCCAATTATCTCCAAAGACAGAGGCAAAACTCCATTGAACACATGGCAGCAAAAAGACAGTAAAATACAATAAAATACACAAGGTTACATTTATGACATAAAATACAGACATGCAACATATGCCCAGATAGCTTAGGTCTAAGCGCACATTATTACTGAATGGCGCTCAGAGCACACACATACAGTTCAATTGCCATGGAGCCAAAGTCTTTCCCATAGTCTTTCATTATACGAATGGGCTCCATGGCATAGCTATCTGGGGTATCACTGCTCAAACAGGGCAAGCACCAAATGACCCGGCTTTCTTGTCTTTGCAGGGGAAAATCAAGCCTTTTAACATGGGGCCATAATCCAAAGGCAACAGGCGAGCAACCAGGCTTCTCCAATGCAATGTGGAGAGATTGCTCTCGTCACAACATGAATTAATGAATACCAGAATAGAAAATAGCTATGAGATACCAAATCTTACAAACCCATAAATAATTATATATACAAAGAAAAGAAAAGCATACCCAACATAGTGAGAAGAAGGACAAGAGTCCGGCAAAATGCCTTTATCAAGGGAGCTCCCTGGCATCTGACATTCTGCATCCCGGATGTTTATTACTGTGTACATTCCTAATACGATGTCATTACCTGCCTGTATGCCTTACTATGCACGCAAAAATAAAGAATATAAAAAATAAAAAGCTTTTTTTTAAAAACAGGTGGAAATGGTAAAGTTCCATACTATAGCTATCTGGGGTCGGCCACTTTCGCATTTATTGTTCGTATAGTCTGTAAATAGGGGATTTCGTTACAGACCTATATACCCTTTTTGGACCTATCTGTCTATTTCGTAATACAATTGTTATTAGTAAGCTAAAATGTCTCAAAACAGCCCCGCCCTGGCCATGACCCCACTCACACTCAGTACAGCCCCGCCCTGGCCATGTCCCCACTCACACTCAGTACAGCCCCGCCCTGCCCCTGACCACACTCACACTCAGTACAGCCCCACCCTGGCCATGTCCACACTCAGTACAGCCCCTCCCCTGGCCATGTCCCCATTCATGCTCAGTACAGCCCCGCCTTGGCCATGTCCACACTCACGCTCAGTACAGCCCCAACCTGGCCATGTCCCCACTCACACTCAGTACAGCCCCACCCTGGCCATGTCCCCACTCACACTCAGTACAGCCCCACCCTGGCCATGTCCACACTCACACTCAGTACAGCCCCACCCTGGCCATGTCCCCACTCAAACCCAGTACAGCCCCGCCCTGGCCATGTCCCCACTCACAC